TGTTGCTTCTCCAACCTCCTCTTCTGTTCTCCCTGTTTCTTCAGCATGTTAATCGCCTCCAGTAGGTACAAACTTGTGCGTTTAAAACACAGCACCTCTAAAATTATTAAGTATCCCCACCCTCAACCTCTCAGACTTCAACAGACACAGATCCCCGGCCTGGAAACGGGCACACTAGGGCAGGAGTTTCAGTCTCTTCTGCCGTAGCAGTGCTCAACTAAACACCTCTTTCTTATTGTTATGTTGTGTATGGTAAATGGTAAATGGACCTGTACTTGTATATATTTCCTTGAAGGGACAATAAAGAATCTACGTGATGAGTTTCCAATTACAGGAGGTGAGAGAACGACGACAGAACAGCTGCTTAACATCTGCAAGAGACTTTTGTTTACATATTCCAACAAATATGTTCATATATTCAATATGTTTAGTTTATACTCAAACAAACTGTTCTGTGTTTACGCTGCTGAGAGGAATAAACTAAAATCAGGCTCATCTCAGACACCCTGCAGACACCACAAAATATCACCTGTACTGGAAATTAAATTTCACCTGAGTGTGGTGATATATTAAGTTTGATTAAGGTGTGTAGAGAATTTAACAACATAAAAAAAAAACAAAGTAACCCACCTTGAAGCACATGGGGAAGTTCTCAATCTCTTTGTACATGTTCTTCTCTTTCAGCAGAGCAACTGAAGCTTCATCCAGCCTGGATAGAAAAACAAGAGTGAGGAATGAAGAGGAGCTGTTGCTGTGGTGAATCTACATATGTGAATGTATTAGTACTGACTGGAACAGACAACTCTTCTTTATTAATTAGGAAAGATCTAAGTACGTTTTCTAAAGCAGCACAGAGATAATCTATAACTGATCCAGAGTTTTATCAGAAACCATTGCTGTCGGTGCCCCCCCCTCCACTTTAACTTCCTTTACCTTCTTAACCTGACCAGCAGTCTGGAGGCTTTTCCCAGCAGTTCGACTGCCTGACGCAGGCGGTCCTCGTTCTGTGGACAGAAAACAAGCCTCTATATAAGTGACGACACTCAACAGCATCAGTTAACTGATTTATGTTTTCTTTTGTTGGAAACTCAATTTCACCTCAAACACGCCAGCTGCCTTCTGATACAGGTCCACAGCTTTCTCTAGGTTTATTGGCTCAATCAGTCTGGGAAGAATAAAAGAGAGACATTAGTCTTAAATGGCATCAGTATTCCCCTTTTTTATAAGACCTAAAAGTGGCAGATAATAATAAGGCTACTTAATAATTGTTGTTAATTAATAAACACAAACAGGTAACACCATGTGCAACAATTCTCAAAACTGAAAATACAACACATAACACGTTACATAAAGTATTCTTTCTTTTTTACCAATGTGTACTATAACTTACAATCTAAGAATAGAGGAATTTACTCTAAGTTCAAACAGAAAATGTCCTTAAATATAGAAAATAAAGGTGTTATTTTTACTTTCCAGCCCGGTCCAGAGCCATGGCAGCAGTGTCCGGAGTCCCATTCTCCATGTACATCATACAGGCTTTCTCTATGTACTGGATGGCCTCTGGCATCTTCTTTTGTTCCTGTTGCAGCGCAAACACAACAACAAAGTTACAACTACTGTTACTTTACCTACTGTCTATTAATGAGCTCTGTGTTTGAACTGTGGGTGCACTCACCTTCATCATCATACCCGCCTGTTCAATAGCCCTAAGGAGGAGGAAGAGGAGGAGGAGGAAGAGTTTGAGTAAAACAAGTGGGTTTTTTTCATGTTTGCTGTTGACTTATAACTGAGGTTATAAGACAAGATACTTACTTTGCAGCATGAAAAAGTCTGTAGGACGAGTTAAGGAATATAAAAACACAGCAGTAGGGTTGTAAGAGAATATTTAAAGATATTGCATCGTGATACTTTGTTTTGTGAGACTGCATCGAGTCTCTGTATCGATATTTGTGTTTAAATCCCCCAACTGCTAGAGAGCAGTGTTGTAAACTGAGGGCTGTGATGATGTTACAGGTACAAATGAAGATCAAACTGTTCTGGATGCATGAAAAAGTCAACTTTCTCCAGACTTTTTCTGCCATTTTTCTTTGAATGTGTCCTACAAGACTTTTCTGTTTTTGTACTAAGATTTGATGCATACGGTGGTTAGATTTTTGAACATTGCAACATACACCGATCAGCCTTAACAGTGATGAAGTGGCTATCATGGCACCTGTCAGTGGGGGGGATATATCAGGCAGCAAGTGAACATTTAGTCCTTAAAGTTGACGTGTTAGAAGCAGGAAAAATGGGCAGCGTGAGGATCTGAGCGTCTTTCACATGGGACCACATTGTGATGGCTACACGACTGACTCATCTCCAGAACTACTGAAGGTGTTCCCAGCCAAGGCTCATCGATGCACGAGGGGGGGCGAAGGCTGGCCCGTGTGGTCCGATCCAACAGACGAGCTGGTTCTGATAGAAAGGAGTCAGGACACACACAGTGCAGTGCAGTTTGCTGCGTAGCTGCAGACCACTCAGGGTGCCCAGGTGGCTGATGGGTGTATATACTGCAATATATTAAATCATAACCCACCCAGATTCTCATCCACACACACACACACACACACACACAGTACAGCTCTGGCACTGAGCACAGAAAGGATACGTCTTGTTTTCTGTGTGATATTCAGCTTCCTTCAGATAAGCATCCTTTGCTTGGTCATACTGCTTCGCATTCTTGAAGCAAACAGCTGCAACAGGACACAGACAGTCAGTCAGCAGTCAAATATCGGCTGTCTGTATAATAATAAAAGGTTATATTAAAGGAGAATATCGATTATAGTTACCTGCTTTGGCGTATTCCGATGCAGCACTGTCATAATCAGGCTTCCACTTTGTCATACTGGTCTTTAAGCTGCAAACACACGACAAGCAGCTAATTAAAGACAGAATCAGCTCGTTTATTGCCTATCAAACCCATCGACGATGAACCAGACGATACAAACACACTGTTTATTTGTGGCCTTTGACGCTGGCTCGCTTGGCTAAAGCTGCTGGAAATAAAGCGGATTTCTGACCGTCACTCACCATTTCTCCGCTTTAGCTATGTGCTCATGGGCTTCGTTGATCTTCTGAGCGGCCATGGTGCTGACTGGGTCGATGAGAGTGAGTTTATTGGGGATAAATCGCTGTGGTCGTCGGCTGTCGTCGATGTTTGGATTAACAGGAACTCCTCCTCGGGCGATACGTCATCCTGTGTCGCAGGCTACGGGTGCCGCCGAGGACAAAAAAAAACCAAAACAAAAGCTGCGACGCGAAAGACTTTTTTTTTTTTGTCTGTAGTGTGATTACAGCAGAGGGGAGCTGAGATTGTGGTTTTAAGGGAAAGGTGAATTATTATTTATAATAACTGCAGATACTGTGTTGATACTATATTATTTTATTATTTTATTAAATTATTTATGTAGCACATTGTGTTTATTTACCACAAGCAAAAGCAACAAACAAAACAAGAAATACATGATAAAAACAATAAAAAAGCACATAAAATAAGAACAATTAAATCAAACAGGCAAACAATTATAATATATTAAAAAATAAACAATTAAAAGCACAATGAATAACAAAAATAAAAGAATAAAATTGATTGATTTAAAAGTAAATAAATGGTGAACAAGTAGGTTTTTAGTTTGGATTTTAGGCTGTATTAATTAATAAATAAATAAAACTTATCAGACTCAATTTATATATTTACTATGTGGCAGAAATATGAAACTTCTGGAGGCCCAAAGGTCTTACTGGTGTGAGGCAGTATGAAATAGTTTTTATTGATCTGAACACTAATAGCCTTTATTAAATAATAACCACTGAGATAAGTTCTCCTCTGTTACCTGTTCTTGAGGCTCTGTCTTTAAGAGGGTCATTGTGTCAAAACCTTCATTATTTTGGGGTTTTGTGCTTATTTTGTTGCATATTCCTAAATAAATGACTACACAGCAAACCAGGGGCCAGATATTCCAGCACCTGCTGTGTCCCGTTTACATATTAACTCTAAATGGGTTTTGAATATGAAGTAGGTGAAAAAATTAAATATACTGAAAAGTACAGTACACACATAAACACATACGTTTGTTTTTTTTTGTGTGTGCTATTGAAGTGCATTATTTTTCTCCCACAACCAAACGCACAGAAGAAATGAAGGAGGTTTAAATAAAGATTAATTGTGAATGATGGTGAAACAAATCATCAGGAACAATTCAGACAACAACAGAATAAATATACAATACTTGGAAAAACGTTTTGCTGTCTTTGTGGAGATTGTTTAGTCGCAGTTTCATTTCCTGATAAAATAAAACAGTTGTCTACGTTTATTTCTTGTGTCTTTAAATAATATAATAAAATATAAAAACATAATATAAATATAATATAAAAACATATGTGTGTTATTTACTATAGAACTGGGACACAGCAGATGTTTTTATCTCTTTATTAACAACAAATGAGGTACAATGACTAAACTCACTTTGTACAATCACAACAGAAAACATCATGGATCACACCTCCCACATTAAAATCGATCCTAGTCAACACAATGACAAGAGATTATAATAATAAGTGCAGATAACAACAGAAACAAACAAATAATAAATAAATAAACTAAAAGAAAGCTGAACAGGGGGCTAGAAAAACGCATATTCAGACATTAGTTCACAAAGTCTTCGGACAGGGGCATTTTTGACTTTCCTGACACATTTATTTATTATTATCATTATTATTATTATTTATTATTATGATTTATTGGAGGCTATACTGGTGGCTGCTATAAGAATATTTAAATATGAAATAATGATGATTAAAAAAAAATAAAAAATGTATTTAGTGCTTAATAGTTCGCATATATGTCATTAAATCACCACGAATCTTCTGTTTTTAAAAAAAAAAAAAATATATAATAATAATTATAATTTATATAAAAATAATAGCGCCGCGCCGGAAGCGGAAGCGAGTGTCGGTGTGGTCGGTGACGTCACTCCGGTCTCTAATGGCTGAACAACAACAACCGTCGGCGGGTGACAAAGTTTCCCAAACTCCCGCAGAGGCTGAAGAAAGTTGGAAATAGCGAAGAGTTTTTTTTTTTGGTTGTGTCGCAGTTTTCGCGCGTTTCTCTGTTGACTGTCTCTCTCTCTTTCTTTCCTCCTGTCTTGTGGTTACAAATGTGGGATTATTGATGGATCACAGATATGACATACCGCGGAGGGCCGCCGCCGGTGGTGGTGGTGGTGGTGGCGGCGGGGGCTCCGCGAACTCGTCCCCGGCTCTCGGGGCTCAGTCGCGCCGCAGGAAGATGCCTCCGAGACCCGCTGATTTTAAACTCCAGATCATCATCATCGGCTCCCGCGGTGTCGGTAAAACCAGCCTCATGGAGAGATTCACCGACGACACTTTCTGCGAAGCCTGCAAGTCGACCGTCGGTGAGGACAGGATGCTTCTTTTCTACTTGTTTTTGTGTGTGTCAACTTTTATTTATTTATTTATTAGCAGCAGCAGCAGCAGCAGCAGCAGCGGGCTCTGTCTACTTCCTGGAGGGCAGGATACTTAAACTACCTTGTGTTGGATGTCATGAACACATTGTCTCCTACTTTGACTGTGTAATGGGGCTGAACAGGCAGTTTTAGGCTGTTTAACTAGTGGACTTTAATGCTATGAAGTAACTAAACAAACACACGTGTGGGGCTTGCATTGGTGTTTTTTTTTAGGTTTTTAAAAGTTGTTTTAGCATTAGTTTTAGAGACCAACACAGAAGGGAGGAAGCTTATTACCTGAATGACTTTAATCTGCAGCAATCCAGTGATTAATTAACTTAATTTTCTACTGGTGTCACTGTTTTGTTTATTTAAATGAGTGTCATTTCCATTTCTTAAAAAAAACATTTTCATAACATACATATTACACATTTCTAAATAAATACACATAATTACTTTAACTGGTGTTTTATTATAAAAACAAAAGTACAAGTGACAAACTGCTGTGTCCTGGTCGTGGATGCCGCCAGCTTTAACTACGAAAAAAGAGATGTGGAGTTGGGTAAACACTCCTGTGAGCAATACAACAGTCAACCATAATGTCCAATCCCAAAATAGTCACACAGCTGCTATGGCAGAGCTCCATTTTGTGCCCTGTGATTCGCGTGACACAGCTCGTCGCTAATATTGTGTTCCTTTGATCCCAGAGACCAACGGAGGGAAGAGTTGGTCACTCAAGTCTGGCTGGAAATGTTGTTTTTCTAATCCCCTAAATGTCTTTCGCATAGAAGATCACTATGATTGCGCACATCTTTTTAGAAGTTTGACACATGTAACTGCGGCACTCATTGTTTTGCAGCTATCACCTTTAAATAAAAGATATAGTTTAACCCTTTTAATACAAAGAAGGATGCAGCTTGTTCCCAAATCATGTCTACATAAAAAGCATTTCCACGTGTGTCTTTCTGTTTTCCCCTCACAGGAGTTGACTTCAAAATCAAGACAGTGGAGCTGAGAGGGAAGAAGATCAGACTACAGATCTGGTGAGTAACTGGGCAGAAGTTTCCAGTTCCTTTACTCCTCTGTGTGGTGTATTTCCTGTGTCTGTCCCCCTGCAGGCTCCTCCTAACATAAACTAGTGCTGGCTTACTGGGTGCTGGGTAGGTACTGCATGTGCAAATAAGATGTGCCAATTGCATGTTTTGGATTGCCAAAACATGTCTTGTCAACCATTAACCGTGAGATGTTTGTCAGTGAAGAGGCCCATATTAAAAACTCGTGGCTTCAGTGGGGATATTCATTTTCACTTCATGTGGAGCAGCACGTGACCGTAATGTTGTCTAAAGTTGGCAATCGCTTTATTCTTGGTTACATCGGGTGTTGTTACCTTTTATATTTAGCATTCTCCACCTAATTTGTACACACACACGATAATTAAAGTTCATTAAATCCAATACCAAGTGCCTCCTCTCATTTCAAGGTTTAACTTCACTTTGATTCTAATACAGTCAAAGTGTTCAAAATATAATGTAAATCACTTTGCTGGCATTGTAGAGACCTTATTAAAAACCCCGGCAGCGGCGGTTATGACTTTATTAGTGGTGTTTGTGAGTGGGAAGTCAGTGAGGGATCTACTGGCTGGTCAGGACAGCGTGGCTCTCTGTGTGCAATATACCGTCCTGCAGAAGCTCCTCGCAGGCTGCCAGCATCACCACATAAGTCAATAATATGTATATGTGTAGACCTAAATTAGAATATTTAATGGAAACTACAAAGTACACATTACATATTTTGAAGTTATCTCTTCTTTGGATCTCTTTTACTGAGTCCAGAATTAGCACTAACACCCTTCAGATTCTTTTTAAAAGTACTAATAAGTGGAAAAAGTGTGGTTTTTAATTCAATTTGATCTCACTGATTTCTCTGAAAGTCTCTATATTACTAATAAGAAGATGCACTAAGATAAAAGTCCTTTGTTACTCTACCAATTAGTGATATATTAAAATGTCAGCGATTAGTCAGTTGTATAGCAGCTGGCCACAGGAGACATACAGTGTTATTGTAGCTTAATAATCAGACTGAATCTCCTCTTTGTTCTAATACCTACCTATATTCTGTCCTAATATAGTGTTTGAATTGTAAATAACAGAGTTTTACGCCGCAGTGATTCAGAGGTTGCTCAAATAGACCACCAGTGACCGGGAGGATGTCATATCAGTGGTGTGCTTCTATTAAGCCTCTACATACTTGTGTCTTGTGACTTCAATAACGCCTTTTAATTGCATTTTGAAAACATACGGCGGTTTTTGTCCGACAAAGGGGTATCATGCTACAAATTACAGTTCGGAAAGCTTTTGTACTGACTGCATTGATTGTGTGTGTGTTTTGGGCTAAACTGTGTCAACTCCATCGCTTATTTCTAACGCATCTGTCCTGTTCATTAACACCCCCCCCCCCCCCC